TGAGCAGTTAATTTGGATCGTTCACGAACAGGAAGATGAACAAAACAAAGACATCCAAATACATGAAGGCTAGAGAAATCCGGGGGATAACCAAAAAGTTTTGCCTAGAAGGCTAGAGACATCCAAAAACATGAAGGGAGTGGTGTTTCCTAGAACAGAGGATGGAAAAAAATTGATCAAATACACAGTTGTATTGGCTGCTTCTACCCAAAACGAAGTTGGAGTATGAGACTCATATAGTAATGTTCGCACAACACTGAGAATGTGTTCGTTCTTCTATTCAGCTACACCATTTTGTTGTGGAGTTTTTGGGCCGTTGCGTTGAGATTGAATTCCATGACTCCTCAAATATGTCAAGAAGTCTCCATCTCTATATTCTCCCCTTGAATCTGAACGGAGGATAGTCACACTACATTTGAATGGATTTTGCTCCATAGTATGAAACAATTTAAATGCACCAAAGACTTTTGATTTGTATCGTAGAAAATAAATCCAAGTGTATCTGGTATAATCATCTACAAATAATATGAAATATTTGTACCCCAATTGTGATCTAATAGAAGCAGACCAAACATCACTATGTATTATCTCAAAAGGTTTAGTGGCATGTACAGATTTATGAAGAAATGGTAAAACATGACTTTTACTCAAACAACACGTAGTGCAAGAAACAACAAAAGTATCAACAGGAGGAATTTTATTCTTAATCAAGCTAGAGTCAAACAAAAGTTTTAATTTTTGGGAATATGGATGACCCAACCGTTTATGCCATAAATCCCAAATATTATTTCTATAACTCAAGTGCAAACATACGGCCCAACCTACACCCCTTCCCTTTCACCTTCCCAGTGTACCGGTCCTGTATCAAGCAACCATCATGAGAAAAAGTGAGAACATTCCCTTTATCAACAAGTTGACCAACAAAAATTAGATTAATAGTATGGTTGGGTACTAAGAGGGTTTTGGAGAGAGGAAAGGATCTAATTGGTGACAGTTGAAGGGACATATCATTACTACCACTGATGTCTAACTTTTCACCATTAACTGTAATAATATGTTTATGGTGAATTTTAGTGGAAGGGATTGGGTGGTTGAGGTAGGCTCCGGTCATATGGTTTGTGGCACCTGAATCTATAACCCAAGCATGTAAAGGGGAAGAACAATATGCAGAGAACTTACTAGACAAGCCAATAGTAGAAAAAGCAGAGGAAATAGCAGAAGATACCAGTTGTCGAACCCTTTCTTCATCCATGGCACATGTTGATTCACCTTTCATTGATGACTCATCCTTGGTAGATACAGTGTCTATTGCTGGTCCATCTGTTGCCTGATAGGCCCGGTGCTGAGTCTTTTTCTGAGAGCCCTTAGCTGGTCGGACTGGACAGTTTGAAATAATGTGACCATGTTGCTTGCAATAGGTACACACATTCTTCTTCTTACAATGAGATGCTATATGTCCAAAACCCTTACACTCATAGCACTAGGTTTTGGAGAAGTCCTTGGAGGTTGGCTTATTACCCCCATGAGCAACAAAGGCTGTTTCATCCCCAATCTGGCTGCAGTGAGAAGTCTAGTCTCTTATCTTAGAAGTTCCCCTAAAACAGAATCCATATCTGGAAGTGTTACCCTAATCAAAATGTTGGACCTAATTACCCTAAGTCTCATCAAGAACTGAGTTACCTTTCTCCTCAAAGTGCTTCTGAAGATATTTTACACACTTCACTGGATTCGAGTGTTCAATGTGAACAATCTCATATTCAACCCAAAAACCATAATAATATCCATGTATCCTCCCATCTCTTTGGTTGTAAGAGAATATTTTTTATTCTATCTGATATTGCTTAGATACATTGGACTGTTGATAAACATTTTCTAGGTACATATACATCTAGTGTTGTTTTCATTCTCCTCATGGGAACAGATATATGATAGACAATAGAACTCAGAATCCAAGAAACAAGTTTACCATTGTCCAACTTCCATTGTTGTATAGCTTTCACCTCAGTCTCAGTTGATTTGGTAACCGTTCCGTTCAGATATCCTTCTAAACCCTTTCCCTCAACATAAAAGTCGAAATAAAAGTTCCACATCCCATAGTTCTGTCCATTCATCTTTACAGGGATGATATCACCTCTGTTTGAAGCCATTTTAGCAAGAAAATAGCACAAATAGGGTTTGACTGAAGTTTAAGGAAATTAATCTGAAGCAAAACTTCATCCAAAGATGAGAAATAGGCTATAATCAATCCAAAAGAGTCAAAAAACTGAGATAGAAACCCCTTACTTTCATTGAAGATTGTTCAAGATCCAAAATGAAGAGAGGCAAACACAGTCCAAAAAAGGAAAATCTGGGTGCAATAGCTAATAAGAAGAGTCCAGATCCCTCTCAAAACTTCACAAATCTCCGTGAAAATTTCAGAATATGTTTAGAAGGGTTGGACGACAATTCCTTTCAATTCTTGCTCCAAACGAAGATCAAACAAGAGAGATCCAATAAAATCTCTCTCTAGGTGCGCAGAAAACAAAAGAGTTCCTAGATAGATCAAAACAGTCCAGGACCACTCGGCAGAGGTGTAGGTTTTCAATAGATCACGAGGGCAAGACAGATGAGAGAGAAGGAAGATCAAAGAGCAACCTGCTTTGATACCATGTGAACTGAATCTAGATCTAGGAGAAAACAGAATTAGGAGTGTCCAGAATAGTCGACCCCCACCCCAAAGAGCATCTTTTATATTAAAGAGATAAAATGTATGTACGGTTACTAGAATCTTTTATAGGACTGAAAGATAAAAAGAACAAATAAAATAATAACTATGATACTGTACAAGGACTACTCTAATAATGTACATCAAGGTATAACTTCACAACGTGGCATCTGTGGCCACCTCAACCATAACCCAAACACTTGTTTATCAACTATTGCAATCTGATAGCCCGACTTTGAATACGTGGTTCTAAGTTCTAAATGATCAAGTTTTGTGGGTTGTACACTAATCGTAATTTGTGGATAAGATTGAGTCTGCAGTAGTTGGACAAAGTGGTATTTTGTGGAATCCTAATTATTCACATTTAGTGCCCGTTTGGTGAACTAACTTTTGCTTCTGCTTCTTTTACAAAAAGAGGAAATGGTCCCTATGGGTGGATCTCAAAACCACCTTATTGGAAAGTACCAAACATTTTTTAGAAATAAAGAGACGCACGTGGCTTTGTCATCAACCATGAACATCGACCGTCTCCTCTTCAAAAGGAGAAATTTTCTCCCAGCTTATCAGTGTTAACTTTTGGCTTTTGTGAGGTGGAAGCCCCCATCGGAGAGTTTATAGCAATGCTTGGAATAAGGATTAGCTGAATGCAATAGCTATTCAGCCCGATGTGGAACCAATTATAACTCTACGCCAGTAATAAAAAAGAACTATTTTGTAGAACTTCTTTTAGTGGCTTCTAAAGTAGCTCAACCAAAACATCAGTCCTCACAAAAGGACCCTTACATTAAAATGAAAATTAGGCCCCAAACTTCATACAACCTTTTGTATCCTCTATTCCTGGAATGTTCTAGTTTGCTTGTAGAAGATAGAAATGCCAATTGTGTTGATTTTATTTTTTTATTTAATCATGTTTTTAGTTAGGGGTGAAAATGGATCGGATCATGATCCAATTCAATCCGAAGTTTAATCTTATATTCTTGGATTTAGATAGCCCCATTTTAGATCTTTGGATCAGATTGGATTGGATGATAGGATTTGATCACAAATTGGATCGAATTCAGATCACCCCATATTTGATCCGAGAAAGATCCAATCTGATATACATTATTTATTTATTTATATAAATATATAATACACATACACACACACACGCACGAGTGGGTGTGTGGTATTCGATCGACTCAGAGATCTTGACACGTGGCCTCGACTGGATGGATCCCGGCCATCCCACGAGCCCTGGCACGTGGCATCGGTTAGACGTATCCCGACCACCCATCACCAACCATTGCCAATCGCCGCCACCTGCTCCTAACTACTCCTCTTAGGCAACTCCGACTATAAAAAAGGGCTCCCACATTGAGTTAACACACATTGGAACTTAAGCTCTAATTCTCCTCTCTTGCTTAGTCCGACCTCTTACAACTCGCAACTAACTTGACCATTAGAGTCTCTGCCTCTGGGATAACTCCTGGGTTCTCTAACATCTTTTTTCTCTCACTAGGCTGGACCCATCGGCCTAGAAATTACATTGTTGCCCTTTGCTTCAAATTATTGTTAGATTAATGAGTTTGATATATAGAACATTGATAGATCCATCTTACAGTTATCTCTTATTATAAAAATCATGTAAAAATAAAATACATTATATATATATATTGAATATTTTGTGTTGTTCCTAAAAATTAAAAAAACCTCATTTTGTTATAAATTATTTTTAGATTAATTAGCTTAATGGGTGATTGATGGATCCAAATTATTTTTTTATTTAATAGTGGTCATAACCGCCACTATAGGTCCTCAAAGATCGATACAATATCAGACATATATATACACATGGTTTTCAAAATCGGACCGAGTGGAAAAACTGGGAACCAGTCGTTTTACCCCATAATCATTATTTTGTCAAAAGATTGTTGATTTGGTCAGCAAAACGTTGACTCGGGTGGTTGAACCATTTAAACCATCCAATAGTTTTGGCTTTTTTTTTAATTTTTAATTTTTATTTTATTTTTTGTCAGAACAAGCCGTCCGTTTAATTCAAACAGTCCAACCGTTCGACCCGAGAACTAAACCCCTGACTGGTTCATTGTCCAATTCGGTTTTAAAAATCTTGTATATACATACATGGCGCCAAACAACAAAAAGAACATATATAAGATTCTAGAGGGACGAAGGAAAGCTTTAATTAAATTTTATTCAGTGGTTACACATCTGATGTAGTAAAAGTGATTAACTTAGACGAATCAATGCTAAACCCTCCTCAATTACTATTAATTAGGTAGCCACCAATATTCTCTCAACGTGTCACTCCAACCCTCATGAGGGCAATATATGCAATGAGTCTATAAGCTAGAAACATAATGCCTAAAGCAATATAAGAAATGGCCTTACGATCAAGCCCAGCATACTTGACAGTAGGGAAGTCTCCAACTCTACAGGTGACATTGAAGTCACAAGGATATGTCTCATCAGCTGAATATTGTGCACCCAACAAGAGTTTGTAGTTGTAATGGCTGATGGATATGTACTTAATCCATTCCATGAAAGGTGGTATCTTCTGTATGTAGTATCCGCCAGTGAGAAGGAAAATATTAATGACCACAGACCCAAGGACAGTGGCAGCCTTAGGGTTCATAACAATGGAACCAATAGCAAGCCCAAGGCCTTGGGAGACCATTACACTGAGTAGAACAACATATAGGGTTTCCATGAAGCTGGTGGCACTTGGCTTGAACCCTGCCATCCAATAGGTTATGGCCACGAAAGCAGTTGGGAGAGCTAACTCCATTGGAAGGTCACCTATGGTCCTGGAAATGAAGTAAGATGAGAGTCTGTACATGCCTGATGATCTCTCCTTAATAAGCATCATTCGTTCTTGTGGGAAGGTGAAGACTGCCTGAACCAGAGGGAAGAAACCCCAGAAGCTAGAGTAAAAGAATAGAAGCCCCACCTGCCACATAAAGACAAACATGGGTGTCATTGTAGATTGATTACCCCAGTGCAATGCAAATTTGTGGTAGTATAAATGATTTGGGTGCAAATTTTGATTTGTTTTTGTTTCAGATTTTATCTTATTTTGTTGGATTAAATTAAGTACAAATGAACTAAAATAAGATAGTAAAATTCAAAACCAAATTAATTAAACCAAAAAATAAATTGTTCTGCAAACAAACAAAATTGTTTTATAGAGCTAGCTCTTCCACTTCATTTGAATCTGAAAAACTGATACAAAATTTGCACCACCTTCCTCCAACCTTAATTCTCTCATAAAGTGGGGATCAGATCAATTTACTTCCTAACTTACCACCACAATAAATAACCTTCCTTTTTCCTCATTTCTCTTTGATATAAATTGTATGGACCACATCACTTATACTTCCTATTGTACTTCATACAAACAACCAAAACAAGCCAAATCTGAAGCCAAAGTAAACCGGGATTATATTTACATCGAATCTATTTGCACTCCTATATATTTACACCAAGGAAAATGAAATCCACGGTGCAAATAAATAGAGCCTGAAGAAATTAACAGTCACATTAAGAATAAAATTAAGCTTAATTACCCTTTCTTTCAATATATACCTGATCCTGTATGTTGGTAACATCAGATTGCCACCATAGAAGTCCTGCTAGTATGGCGACAACCACTATTTGAATCACTTTTAGATAAGAAAAGTACTCGTGTCTTCTTTCCTTCATTCCTCTTTTGACCAACACAGAGAATTGTTCTCCCCAAGTTGTGTTCCATTTGGGAGATTCCCTATCTCGTGCACTGTCTACACAATGATTTTCAGTACTCTGCATCTCTGCTTTCAACTTTCCAACGATGTTCTTCTTATAAGCAGAGACCAAAGCTTGCTTCAGAGCTATCGGATCTTCCTCTTTATTATTTGAAAATGTACCTATATAAACATACCGACAAGATAAGCCAATTCTATTCTATTCAGATAGCATTAGGGGTGTCAATTGAACTGGATTTGGTCCAATCCAATCCTATCCAGTTCAATATGAATTCATTACAGATGGATCAGGTCTAATCCAATCCTATGAATACTTTTGACCATTTTGGATCGATCCAATTTAATGTATGGATTGATCCAATTCAATATCTTTTATTGCTCCGTCCAGTCCATTCAAATTGATTTTGATTTGGATGGGGTTCAACCAAAAATCGGTCCATTGACACCCTAGATAAAATCAAGCCCAAGTTACAGCATATATACCATTGGCAAGATCCAAGAGGAAATCTGAAGGATTCATGGGGAAAGATGGAGCAAACCCAATGCTAGAGAAGTAATCCATGGCGTCTTCTCCCTTACCAAAGTACAGTGAGTTACCTTCTGATAACAATAACACCTTATCAAACATGTAAAATAGCCTGCTAGAAGGTTGGTGTATGGTCAGAACCACCGTTCGTCCACCTTTAGACAGCTCCCACAAGGTGGACACAATCTGCTGGGCTGTCGTTGAATCTAGACCAGATGTTGGCTCGTCAAGCAGCAGCAAACTTGGATTGATCAGTAATTCTTGCCCAATACTCACCCTTTTGCGCTCTCCACCTGAGACCCCTCTAAGGAGAGGACCCCCTATAATGCTATTTTTGCAGCGAGAGAGTCCAAGCTGAGATATCACCACTTCTGCATGAGTGATTTTCTCTTCCTTGGTGAGACAGTTGGGTAAGCGCAGAAGAGCAGTGAAAACTAGGGTTTCTGTGACAGTGAGGTGGGGATAGAGCACATCATCTTGGGTCACAAATCCAGTCATCCGCTTCACCAGGACGGAGAATGGCTTTCCATTGTATGTTATACTTCCACCAAGCTTCCCACCAAGTCGACCTCCCAATGCTGTTAAGAGGGTTGTCTTGCCACTGCCAGAGGGGCCTAACAAGGCTAACATCTCACCTGGTGACACTGACCCGGAAACTCCATTCAGTATCATCACTTTCTCTTCAGACTTGGAGCTTCTGAAATGATCAAATCTTTTTTTCTTGATGCTGATCTTGTACACAACGTCTTCAAACTGCATCCGAAATGAAATATATATTTAAGGTCCATTTCGTTTACAGTCAGAATCGGAATCGGAATGGCCTGTTCCTAATAATCTATTTGGTTCAGATACGAATGAAAATAAAAATTGGAATCATCAGGAATAAGATTTTATTCCCAAGAGGGGCAAGGAATGGGCATTCTCTCAAATAGGGGAATGCCATTCCAACAAGAATCAGAATAGTTCATTTCGATTCCTATTCCAAACCCTTATTCCTGTGAACCAAACACAGCCTTAGTAATGAAAAGCATTGCTATATCTCTCATCCTGGCAAAAGGTCGGGCCAGGTTAAGGGCATGGACCATATATATATGCGCCCCATCCCCAACCCCAATCCCCATATCCGAATCTGAAATTCTTTCTTATTTTTTAATTAAAAGTTTGTTTTGAAAATAGTACTTAAAAAAATAATATTAATCTAAATTGGATTGACACTTGACCAATATCTATTTGAGTTGAAATGAACATAAATCTAATTAAGAACATATCATACCAATAATATGTGACCAGACGATTATTGGTATCCCAAAACAATCTCTATCCCATTAACAATCTCTATCCCAAAAAAATAATATGTGACTGGGGATGCAGAAAATTGTCATCACCATTAACAATTTCTATCCTAAAACAAACCATGCAAATTTACCTTCAATGTGACCAGACGATTCATTTTCTTAAAAATGGAGGGAGCTGCTTCGACCTCAGCGGTTTGATTTTGAGCCTCTGTATCAATCATCTCCATTTCAAATGTTACAAGAGAAGTTACACCCTTGTAAGTGGTGCAATTGGGAAGTAAAAAGGAAAGACAACCCCCAAGGCAGGAAGGCCAAACCACGCTAAACTTTTGGTATCTTCCCACAAGAAGTGAACGAGGCTTGATCACCTATAAATAGAGATACCAATCAATTATTGAAAAAGGAAATAATAAAAAAGTTCCAAACCTTTAATCATACTTTTCAAACGTACTCTTTTGGGATTTTGGTCTTAGGGTCTAGTTCTTGAAGAAAGACGTGGACAATGGGCTACATAACCAGTGAAGAGTGACCAATCCTTGACGTTAATGGATACTGGGTCACTTAATGCGAATGGGTGACCTATTTCCTAGTCAAGATCAGTTAATATTAATATGGCTACTAAAACAACAATTACGTAGGAAGAGAAGTTACACCCTTATAAGTGGTGCAATTGGGAAATGAAAGGAAAGACAACCCCCAAGGCAGGAAGGCCAAACCACGTTAAACTTTTTGGTATCTTCCCACAAGAAGTGAACGAGGCTTGATCACCTATAAATAGAGATACCATTCAATTAATGGAAAAGGAAATAGTAAAAAAGTTCCAAACCTTTTTATCATACCTTTCAAACGTCCTCTTTTTTTATTTTGGTCTTAAGGTCTAGTTATTGAAGAAAGACGTAGACAATGGGCTACATAACCAGTGAAGAGTGACCAATCCATGACGTTAATGGATCCTGGGTCACTTAGAATGGGTTGATCGTGGTCACTTGGGTATGCAAATGTGGAAAATTTCTCTCCTTCCATTGGCGGTGTCAGGAATTTTTTATAAGGGGGGCCAAAACCTAAATGAACTATGGGTGGACCCATAGGGGGGCCAACCATTGAAGTAAAGAATAGAAGGAAAAATTTACATAGCAAGTTGAGATGTTTGTTTGTTTTTTTTTTTTTTTTCTTATCCTGAGATAGAATGGCTTACGTATTCACAAGTATGTCAATGGCTTACGTATTCACAAGTATGTCATTGGGATGAGCAAAGATAAACTCATAAGAGATTGCTTGATTATATATATATATATAGTTGACCTATTTCCTAGTCAAGATCAGTTAATATTAATATGGTTACTAAAAAAACAATTAAGTCGGTAAATGGGTCGGATTCTTGAAATTCTAGATCCATATATGATCCAAAATTCGATAAATCGGATTTGGATTTCATCTGTGATGAGGGCAGATCTGGCCCTCCAGTGAAATTGTGACACGTGGCACCTCGTGACAACTAGGCAAAAACCCAAGCAACAACTTACCAAGTTGGTGTCCCATCCAAGCACCGGTCTGGCTGGCCAGGCGCGGCCTACAGGCAGCCTGGCGCGGCCTGCGCGCGACCTGGCGCAGCCAGGCGTGGCCTGCATGGCCTGGCCAGATCAGCCTGGCACATGATCCGACCTGGTCGACCTGGCAACAACTTACCAAGTTGGTGTCCCATCCAAGCACCGGTCTGGCTGGCCAGGCGCGGCCTACAGGCAGCCCGGCGCGGCCTGCGCGCGACCTGGCGCAGCCTGGCGTGGCCTGCATGGCCTGGCCAGATCAGCCTGGCACATGATCCGACCTGGTCGACCTGGCAACCCATAAGATGCCCACCAATGAACCATAACGGCATACCCCGCGAGCTCGGTAGCTCACCAAGGAGCTCGCCAAGGAGCTCGGTAGCTCACCAAAGAGCTCGCCACCAAGGAGCCAAGCAGCTCGGTAAAGCTCGCCACAAGTAGCTCGGCATAGCCCAAGGAGCTCGGCATAGCTCCACCGGGCTTCTCGCCACTTGTAGGGTAGCTCGGTACAGAAGAGTAATTTGGCGTATCGCAGGAAGATCTCCTACCTGACAACCTGGCCCAGACACCGACCCGCTGACTGACACAGGCGCCGACCTGGCTGTTAGACAGTTTATGTATGCCCTTAGCTTCAATCTGATTTGATGTACTTTTGTTATTTAGTGGAAATAAATAAAGTGCATGATTGATTCATGTTGTTTGGTTTAATTCTGTGNCATAACTCCCCCGGGCAGCTCGCCACTTGTGGGGTAGCTCGGTACAGAAGAGTAGTTTGGCGTATCGCAGGAAGATCTGCCTGACAACCTGGTCCAGACACCGACTCGCCGACTAACACAGACACCGACCTAACAACCTGGCCCAGACACCGACCCGCCGACTAACACAGGCGCCGACCTGACAACCTGGCCCAGGCGTCGACCTGGCCGCCTGACAACCTGACCCAGGCGCCGACCTGGCCGCCTAACACAGACACCGACCTGACAACGAGGCCCAAGCGCCGACCTGGCCGCCTGACACAAGCACCAGCCTGACAACCTCGAGGAGTTCACCACCGTACCCCGGTTCTGACGGGATATGATGAGTCTTACCGTTTGAAGGCTTTTCCCCACCTAACCCGCGAGGACACCACTATATAAGGACTCCGACCCCCAAAGCCAAGGGGGGAAGAAAAGGAGGRTAACCYCTGCTCTCTAGCTCTCTCATTTTCTCTCCAAGCTCTCTGGAATCAGAATGCTAACTTAGGCATCGGAGAGTCCCCGCCGGGAAAATACCCCCGGGTCCTCTRATTYAGTTCTCGCAGGTCTCTCAGCTCCCGCCGCCTACAAAGGAGAGGAAATCACCTCTCGCAGAGGGTAGTCGGGTTGCGCTGCACCAGGGAGATCCACCATCCTCTGAGTTGCAGGCCGCATAGGAGCAAGTCAAATGACGAATCCACCAGGGAGCTCGCCCCCAGGCAGTTCGCCCCCATGCAGTTCGCCACCAGGGAGTTTGCCACCAGGCAGTTCGTCACCAGGCAGTTCACCACTAGGCAGTTCGCCCCCCAGGCAGTTCGCCACCAGGGAGCACCACCAGGTAGTTCGCCACCAGGCAGTTCATCACCAGGCAGTTCGCCCCCAGGGAGCTCGGCAGTTCGTCACCAAGTAGCTCTCCACCAGGGAGCTCGCCCCCTAGCAGTTCGCTCACCAAGTAGCTCTCCACCAGGGAGCACGTCACCAGGCAGTTATCCCCCAGGGAGTCCGCCACCAAGTAGCTCATCACCAAGGCACGTCACCCCCGGGTCAAATAACGAGGTACTTAGCCAAAAAAATTTATACATCACAAAAAATGGTACATGACCAGAAACGGTTACATCAATTGGCTCCGTCTGTGGGAACACGGTACAAAAAGCTAAGTTCTCATCCTACAAAAGCTAAGTTCTCATCTTACCAAAGCTAAGTCCTCATTTTTTAGAAATTGAAGCTATCGCCTTATAGTTTACATTTTTTATGAACTCAAAGACTATGTAGGGAGCAAACAGACTAAGTAGCTCTACCAACCTTACATTCAATTCAGATAATGCCTCATCAGTCCTCTCTGCAAGGTCCCCCCTACAAAAGATGAGCTCTTTGTGGCTTCCGCGGGAGTTGGCAGCCAACAGACTACATAAGCGCCCTTACCGGTCGAGCCTTCCAAGGCTCCCGTGAAAGCTGGCGACCTAAAGTTAGTAGTGCTGCCCCCGAAGGTC